TGGTCAAATTAAATAATAATAATAATAATAATAATAATAATAATAAATAAACAATAAAAACACCCAATTATTTATTTTATGTGATCAGCAGATGGCGTGATGGTTATATCGCTGGACTCCCTTAGTCTACCATGATTTGAATCCTGGACTCAGTGGCTTTAAACTCATGCTGTACATGTATGTGCGTGCCCAAAATCCCAATAAGAGAATGGGGGAGAAGGGATTGTGGCTTGGCCATCCCTCTTGGGGAGTGATTTCTTGCTTTCTGTCTCTCTTTTTCTCTCTCCAGCAAGTGCATGTGCCCCATCACAAACATCTCTCTCTCAAAAAAAAAAAAAAAAGGAATTATTTTTTTTATTTATTTGACCAGAGAGAGGCAGAGAGAGTGGGAACGTGAGAAAGCCAGCAGTCCAGTGCCTCAACCATCACTTTACGTCCTGGCCTCCCATTATGACTTTTAACCCAGCAGGTCCAAGATTCGAACTATGGTTGACTAGGTGAGAGTCCAGTGACGTAAACATTACGCCACCTGCTGGTCCCAATTTTTGTCCTCTCAGTATCATTACTGTGGCTCATCGAATTTCAGTACTTGAATTTTAGGGGAACACATTCAAACCATAGCACCCACATATGTGTATAATGAAATGGTTTTCAGTATATTGACAAATTTACAGTTTTTACCATAGTCAAATTGAGAGTATTTTCATTACGCCTAAAGAAACCTGTATCCCTTCCACCATCATTCCCAAGTTCTAAGTAACCATTGATCTTTCCATCTCTGTATATTTACCTATTTTACTTTTTTAGGTCTTTGCCATTTCTTCTCTGCACTCACAGGAGAGAGCAAGAGAGAGAGAGAGAAAGTCAGAAATCTCCACTCTGGGAGGCCATGCCACAATACCTTCTCTGTTCTCCTCTTGGGATTTTGGGCACACTTGCACAGGCACCTGGCTTAAGTTTCAAAATGCAGTGATTCATATTATAATAATATATCTGTCTATATATATATGTTCAGAGAGAGAGAGAGAGAAAGAGAGAGAGAGAGAGATTTTTTGTTATAGGGGGGTTTGCTTCCTAGAAAGACAGAGACAGAGAAAATGAGAAATTACCCCCCCCCCAGGGGGATGGCAACGCTGCAGTCCCTTCTCCATTCTGCTCTTGGATGTGTGGGCACACACACACACACGCCCAGCAATTTTTTTTTTTTGAAGAATTTTTTATTATTATTTATTTATTTACTTATTTTTAATTTGACCAGAGAGGGACAGAATGAGAGAGAGAAAGAAAATGAGAAAGCAAGTCAAATGAGCATGTTGGCTTCTAGCAGATTTTACAGGAAATGTTTTAAGCATTCTTGACCTAGCATAGTATTTGCTATAATTTATCATCTATGAGGTGTAGGAAGTTTTCTCTTTTAGATTTTTTAAAGAATTATTTTATTTAACTTTATTTATTCATTCATTTTATTTTAATTTGACCTAGAGAGACACAGTGAGAGAGAGAGAGAGAGAGAGTGAGAGAGTGAGAAAGACATGCCAGGCCTGGGACTTGACGTGGTTGGCCATGTGGGAGTGTCCAGCGCCTTCACCACGCCACCTACTGGTCCCCAGGAAGCAAGCTGCCAGGTCTAGGGTTCAAACTGCAGTTGACCATGTGGGAATCCAGCACCTTTAACCACCATGCCACCTGCTTGCTGTCTTTTTTAGATTTTTGCCATAGGGCATGTGAACTCACCAGAGAGAGAGAGAGAGAGAGGAGAGAGAGAGAGGGAAAGTGAGAAAT